AGCAAAAGTGTAATCACTATAAAATCTAATACTTTAAAATAAGGCCCATGTCACCAAAATAAAGTCAATATGAAGGTTAAAACATTACAATCAGATATACTTCAAGAGATATGTTGATCCTCCAAGTACTCGAACCGAGGTATCTTACCAACAGTATCTGAAAGGGGGAAAACATTTTCGAAAGGTGAGCTAGGCTCAGTGTGTTCCAACATTTCCATAAAATCACAATAGGTACAAATCATAGTCCAGTAAATCTCACAAATTCGTAAAAGAGTTTAACTTTTGCAAATCATAGTTTAAACCCTTTTATGGTACACCATCAGTAGTTCCCAAAATTATTTTCCATATAGCTTACTTTATGCACATAGCAAAAAGAAAGCTGACTTAAGGATAGGCTATGAAGCTTGTATCCTTAAGCCCAAGTCAATAAGTCATATAGCTTACCCTAAGCACACACAAAGGAAAGCTGACCTAATGAAACATCTTGGGGCCCTCAAGAGTCATATTAGGCCCAATTAGCTTGATCAAAGATATTCCATCGTAATTCAATTCCAAAATTCAATTGTACCGTGACACAAATTCCATAAAGATCCAAAAACATGGTAATCATATACCATTTCAAAACAAAAATTAGATAGCAGCCATATTCCATAAATTGTCACATTAAATTGGTGCATCCATAAAACAATAACCAATGAATTCGGTGTACCACATATTAAAACCAATAAAACAGTTCAATAACAAGTAAGGAACACACCTCGACAATAGGTTCACATAGCAAATCTACTGATTGCTGGTTTCACCACGCTCTGCTACAGTTTTCGAACGGGTGAATACTGGCACACGTGGTTTAACTGATCTAGAAGAGCTGGGTCGAGCTGTCGAACGATTCAGAGAGTCTCTTGTACCTTTAAACAATAATAATTAATCAACCCCAAATCCTATTTAATTGTTCAAAGCTAGAATTCTTAAGTATATAAGCATTTTCGGGTTTGACTATCAATTTGGGGTATTTCGAGTCTGAATTTGGCCAAACGGATTGCGAAATCGGAATCAGGACGTCGAAAAACATAAAGTATGAGTTTCCAAAAATTCAAATTCTTGGTCAAAGTCAAAGTCAACCACTTTGACCGTCGATTTGGAGGCCTTCGGGTTCGAATTTGACAAAACGGACAGCGGAAACGGATTCGGCACGTCGAAAACTATCAGGATAGGTATACTCGGAAAAGATTTTCGGTCGTTTAATGCTCGGTCAAAGCCATTTTAAGTTTTGGTCAAAGAAAGTCAACGGTCAACGGTCAACGTCGGGTCGGGTCGGGCCAACAGTCGGGTCGGTCTGGTCGGGTCAGTCGGGTCGGGTCAGACCGGTCAAACCGGTTCAAAACTAGTTAAACCGGTTTTCCAGCAGCTCACTCTCCCTACGGAGGCGCGTACGGCGCGTGAACAGTGCCACGGTGTCGGAAAATTCCCGGAAAAATTTCTAAAAATTATTTTGAGCGATTTCGAGATACTTACAACGATCGGTTCAAATTTTTGAACGGCGGAGAGCTCGTATTTCAACTCGGCCGAATCTTTGACTACTCCACCTCCTCACGCGCCGCCGTCAACGGCGAACAAAGTTGACACCGGCGGACTCGCAACGACACAAGGAACACGATGGTGCAGGAGGTGTCGTAAACGGAGCAACGATCGGCGGTGAATTTGAGATTTTCCCGGCGATAGAGCTAAAAAAACGTCGATGCTTTGACTGGAAATTCCCGACGTTTGGCAGCGTTTCGCTTCAATTAATTTGAAGGGTTTATTCCTCGCTCGATGATGAACACAACGGTGGTTTCAAAACGACGATCGGAATTCGGACGGTGTCTGGATCGTGTCGGAAACGGACGTAGGGGAAAGGGAATTTGGGGTGGTGGTTTTCTGTTTCAAAACAGAAAACCATCCACGCCTAAATCATATATAACCAAATTTACCTAATTTTATTGGATAAATTCAGGGCTTAGTCCCTAAATTTTCTTTAACTCCAGAATAAGCTCCAAGTTTTAAAATCTTTCAATTTAGTCCCCAATTTTCACCAATTACACCATTAATCCTTAAATTTCAATTTAATATTATTCTCAATTTTCTGGGTTGTTACATTAATTTATATATGTAATTCCAAAATGAAACATATATGGTTACAATCCAATTAAGCACCTAAAGTTTGCAAACTTCCATGATTCATCCTTCATCAATGCCCCCCATGTCATTTGAATTAATTACTTATTGAGCACAAACATCTTCAAATTAATTCTCGGTCATCTTCAAATGGATTTAAATGGTCCGGACAAAATTAGGGTATTACAATATCAATATCAAATATTATCTTTGGTTGTCGTACTAAGCTCAAAATCAATAATTTTTTTCCATTATTTTTTCAAATTTCATGTTGTTTATACATGAATGTTTTCTAAAAAAATATTTAAATATAGGGTAAAGTGTACAATTGGTCCTCTGACTATAGGGTGATGTTTTGTTGAGTCCCTCAACTATTAAAAGTTACAAAATGATCATTCGACAATAGGGTGTTGCTTTGTTAAGTTCATCGACTATTAAAAGTTACAAAATAATCACTGGACTATTTAGTATGTTCCAAACTTGTCATTTTCCGTTAAAAAATTGACAACAGTCTGAGTTGGATGTTAACCTGTTGACTGAGATATGATGGTATTTTTAGATTTTAAGATCAAATTTTATCATATCTCATTCAACAGGTTAACATACAGCTCAGACTGTTGTCAATTTAATGGAAAAGAATGAGTTTGAAACATATACTAAATAGTTGGGTGACTATTTTGTAACTTTTAATAGTCGGGGGACTCAACAAAGCAACATCCTATAGTCGAATGACTATTTTGTAACTTTTAATAGTCGAGGGGCTCAACAAAGCATCACCATATAGTCGAGGGACTATTTGTGTACTTTACTCTTAAATATAATATTCTAAATATGTACTCATTGAATGATTGAAATAAAATCTATATACATGTATTATTATTATCGTCGTGCTCGTGTAAATACGTGTACTGACACGTATCATGCACATTATTTCATTTCAAATAAAATATTACTTTATAATCACGTAAGTCAGATGATTTTCAATATTTTAAACTATTAAAAGATGAGCCTGGAAAATTGTAATTAGTTTGAAATATAATATTTTTTAAATTATGAGTAATAAAGATGAGCATGGAAAATTGTAATTTGTTATAGTTTAACAGAGCGGTTAATTTTAGGCCGGGGTTTTATTGCTCATATTTATAATATTTACCTATGCTTATGAATTTACGATGAGCATGGTTATAAATGCATGGGATTTAAAACTCTCAACGATTTCACTGTAGGTATTGAACTCGGCAATGAAATCGATTGGATAAATGTCGTTGCTAAAATTAACGACTCAGAGAAGAAAATTAAAATTTCAGGATGAATACTTATCCACCCTAAATCATAGGTAGATTTGTCTGTGTCTATTATCGTACGACTCAATCGCATAAATGAATCAGCCTGCCCCATTAGCACATGATGATATCAAACAAATTGTCGATGATGATAATGATCTTGTTGAAGAACGTCTAATACTAAAAAAAGACGTGTAATAAGTAGGTCCGGGTGATGGTGATGAGCACGAGCCGAATAAATAAACTTATTTAAATGCAAATTATATAAACACAAATTATTTAAATGAATTAATATTACAAAATAAACGAGTTCATTCAAACAAAGAAAAAATACAAATAATAATTAAACATAAGTTTCAAGAAGGATGGAGGCCGCAGAAATGAGAATGCTTCGATGAGCATGTGGTAGGACTCTGTGGGACATGACACCAAACTCTGTAATTAGTATGTCCTTGGGGTGGTCTTGTATCCGAAAAATTGAGGGAGGGAAGACTACGGTGGTTTGGGCATATCCTTAGGCGACAACCGTCGGATGCAGCCAGGAGGGTAAAGTCGATTACAACCGAGGGTGCCAGAAGGAGATGACGACCAATGAGGAAATAGGTAGACTGCTTGAGATCTGATTTGAAAGATTTCCCCTACCGAGAACATGACCTCTGACAGGAAAGTATGGAGAAAATACGGTTATGTTATTGGAATTTATGAAGGCTTAGAACTAAGGTAGCGGAGTAGTGTTGCTTTAGTTTAGGTTTTAACTCATTTGACTTTATACCTTCTCGTAGCTTGCTATCGCTGACTACTGTGTATCATTCTCTTCATGTTTCCTCTTTTTAAATTTAGCCGGAACTTACGTTTATGTCTATATGCAGAGATTTTTACGCAGAGATTTATTTACAGGGATTACATCCCATTACAGATGCGCATATGAAGACTGCATATGAAGTCTGTTCAACTATGTATTTATTTATTTATTTATTTATTTATACATGCATGTATTTTATCTATATTTTTAATTTCTGACTGCCGGAGGTCTTTCACGAAAGCTGCTCTCTATCTGACGTTGGGGGCAGCCTACTACCCTACCTCCCCTTATTCTCATTACATATGAGAATATGATTTTGTTGTTGTTGTTGTTTCATTAATTATAATATTATAAAAAATTAACTAAATAAAGGGTACATTGTGTTCGGAGAGAGGGGTCTTGTCACATGGGATAAAAAAGCATCCAACTGAAAACACCTTTACTAAGGTGTGGTTAGCTGGACATGCCTTTGTCCTACGTGGTCGAAAGGATACTATTCTCTGAATAATATTATTTGGATGTTATTTTAATAATTAAATTAAAAATATAATTTCCCTAAATTAGCTTAAATTTTGAGATTAAAACATTTTGTTAATTTTTTTAAATAAATCATTTGTGGTCTTTATTACAACGTATTAAAATAAAAGCAAGTGGACAGACCCCACTTCTAGAAAAATGAAAAAAATTAAACACAAGCACAACTTGAAAGAAAAACAAACAAAAAGAAATAGAAAAATCAGAAAAAAAGGCATCATCTCAGAAGCAGTAAGAGACTTGAAAGTGAACATGCCAGGCCAACAAACGAAATCTACGACCTGAGAGAAGTAAATCGATAAGAGCTAAGTCGGGATCCCTCCAATGCCATTGCATGCGCTGCCCTGTTACCATTTCCTCCGATGAAGACGAACGAACACAAGGTAAGAGTTCTTGCTGTGCTCTTGATATCCCTAATGATAAGGCCCAAATCAGATAGATCAATTGTGCTCTCATTTAATTTTTGTATGGTCTTCTTGGAGTCGCCCTCTAATGTTATTCTTGTGAATCCGATGTCCTTTACAAACTGAACGCCTTGGAGAATTGCTGTAGTTTCCGCCATAAAAACAGAGGTGATACGGGTGTTATGAATAAATCCAGATCCTAGAATAAAACCTGCACTATCTCTGATTATGAATCCTGAGCAAGACTTCTTGGAGGTATATGAGAAACAAGCATCAACGTTCAATTTGATTGTAGACTCATGAGGAGATTTCCAGCGGGTCAGTACATGAGTGTGACGATGAAGCAAAGAAGAGGAAACATCTTGACCACCATACAATGGTTGCGAATAAAGGTAACAACATTTTCTTCTGTCTGGTATTGGTGCTCATAGATAAATTTATTTCTTGCAAACCAAAGAGATCAATTAGTAACTGCTATAAAAACGTGATTACCTTTGTTGTGTGACTTGAAGAGCCATTCTTCAAAACATAAATTGCTTGCATCATTTGACCTATCAAGTAAACTCCAGATTTTCCTTGCATAAGTATTGTAACACCCACAGACCAATACGGGTGATCCGATTCGATCCGAGGTGCCACATTAGGGCGACCCATAGTAAAATTCCCGAAAAAAATTAAAATTTTTGTTAAAATGTGTAAAATAATAAAACAATTTATAATTAAAATACAAGTTCGAAAACTATTCATATATTACAGACATAATTAAAATCATACATGTTCATACTCATTATAAAAATCAAATGTGACCTACATGCTCCCTAACTACACTTGTACCGTACTCTGCAAGCAAAGCCGAATGGAACTCCTTTACTGATGTCGATAGATGTACCAGATCAAATCTTTTAACCTGAAATGAAAAGTAAAAAGAGTGAGCTTTGGGAAGCTCAGTAATACAAAACTACCAAGTGATGCAGAAGGAGATGCATATAAAGGGCAAACATAATTTTCCTTATTGATGCAGACGTCTACATATATTTGTGATGAGCTAATGGTTTCACTGATATTTCAGGTAGTAAAAGACATGAAGCTTATAGTTCAGAGGAAACGTTCAGAGGACTAGGTTCATGAGATCAGAATAGAGTGTGTAGTGTGTTCCCACAAAACCAGTGAAAAGGTACAAATCTTTTTTAAATAGTAACATTTTAAAACATATTTTTAAAACCATAGTAAAACCCTCCATCTGAACGTCAATATGCAGTTTTCTAGAAATGCATCCATAAGGATTTACCCTAAGTATATAGCAAAGGTGCCACCCTAAGGGAATGCCTTGGGGCCTCGGAGCCTACCAAAGGGCCACCTTAGGTCTATAAGGAATTACTAGGTCGATCGATTTGAACGTATATAAGGAATTACTAGTTTGACAGAGTTGAACCTCATACTCCAGCCTACCCATACAGTACCCAGCAGAAATCAGATTCAACAGTAACTTTAATATCAAAATAATGATCCAATAATATATAGTAAAAATGATCATGTAGTTATTTAAATCACATACATGCCCTCCACCCATACACCATATGCAGTCCCATTATTTACCCAAAAGAGTGCCTTAGGGCCTGAGAGTCTACCCAATAAAGTTTCTCTAGGCCTCGGTGCGTACCCAAGGGTCACCTTAGGTCCGTAAGGAATTACCAGCTTGATTGGTCTGAACCCATATAAGGAATTATCGGTTTGACTGAGCTGAACCTCCATACTCCAGTATCCTACCCAAATAATGTCCCAATAAAACAGTTCAAGTAGTAACCAACAGATTCCATGATCCATAAATAAAGAATGATCATATTTTACAGTTAAAACACGTAATTAAAGAACATATTTCAGGTAACCATAGCTTATAAACCAGTAAATCAGTAAATAAGTGATTTCGGAAAATCACATTTTAAAACGAGTAAAACATTTAAATGTTACATAAGGAGCACACTAAAGGATCCAGATATTATTCGGAAATACTCGATATTTATCAGGTAGGGGACAATGAAACTTTTATAATTTAATAAGATTTCAGGATCAAGATCCCTATAAAAGGGGGTTTAATAGCCAACTGATTAATCTTTCATTCGGGAAATGATTAATCAAGATCATACAATATTGAGATATTTTTTTTAGGCAATTGAGTATCATGAAGGCATTCAAAATCTTTTACATCAGAATTATTGAAGATTTAGACATAACATGAGTGTTTCCATTATTTAGGCAAATCAGGGGCATTTTAGACATTTGGTTCTTGGAGAATTCTTAGTAATTTAATCTAATAAGAGTAGAGCGATTATTTGTGGTATTTAAGATTATATATTTAATTGTAAGGATTTCGAGTCCAATTGAACTATAGATCCCAATACTGCGATACTTGTCAATCATTAGGACCGTGATACTTCACTATTATTCATTTCTTATTACTGACTGCACCAGCTGATCTAATTAATATCAGAATCATCCTTGATCAGTTCTTGAGGAGACGAATAGGTATTTCTTATGTATTTATTTCATTTCCACATTGTAATAGTGTCCCAAAATGTCTAACAACTTGGGTCGTGCTCCATAACCTTTCGAGGCAGTACATCATTTAGGTTCATCGATGTTCCCATAGTCTATCCAATGATATTCACTTAATCCAAGTCCTAAAGGTATTTAGGTCATCTCGGTATTTGAGGTTATTATAATAATTTTGGGGTCCAAGAACATTAGTTATTTCAAAACTTGAGAAAAATCCACCATTTAAATACTTCAGTGATGTGTCACACTTCCAGTAATCTAATATTCAAATGATCATTCAAAAACAAGGGGATCGCCATATTAAGAATTTCCAAATGTAGAAGTTTATTTTTGGGGGTTTTCAAATAGATCAGGAATTTAATTGGTGATTCCAAGATTCAAGCGAATCCAAATTGAGTTCTCAGGTCATCTCCATTATCATAGCCATTCATAGTCCTTTTTACATTTTAAACGTATTATCATCATTCCATTCAATTCTGTCAGTGGCATTACTTTCGATAATTTAGGCTTCAAAGTATTCTAATTTCTTTAAAGTTCAGGGTATTGTGGTCATTCGATCATTAGAGGTTATTTTAGTTATTTCGTAGCTCGAGGACATTTCGACAATTCCTTTTCAATCCAAACATATGCACTTTTTCTGATAATTGGTCAAGTATGTCCCTTATAAGTTATTTTTCTCACCATCAGGGAAAGTCTTGGTCTTTTACATTATAAGGGCATTTTTATAATTTTACCCCAAATGGCTATTTTTTGTAATTTCTTATCCAAATATTCCCGGTATTTAACCTTCAAAGAAATTAATCAAAATTTACGGATCTTGAAGTCAATTCATTTATTAATGAATCACTGAACTTATAATTATTTTCGATCGATCTTTCAGCTTCTTATGCGAGCCATCTGAGTCTTATACAATTTACTGTCTTTTTACCGAAATTCTATTTGAGTCCAAAAATAATAAATTTTACCCAAATGACCAATCATTTCATTGATGCAATTACCAATTATCAATAAGTTCTTGAAAGCTTACAAAAGGTAGTAAAGTATTACCTCAATTTTCATGCTCCACCGATCGAACATTTAAACTCCATTTGATCACCCTCGAACTTTAATTTCATGTCCCATAATGTCTCGGATACATAGCAAACAAATTTACGTCAGAAACTGGAGTTAAGCGGAAAATATTTTTGATTCCAAGGATAAATCACTGAAAAATGGCTTATCAAGTGCAAATTTAGTAAAATAGACTTCGAATTCGAACACAGGACATTGAAAAACATAAAATAGGACTTTTCAAAAAATTTTGACCTCTTTGGTCAACGGCCAGACTAGTCAAAGTCGGTCAGACTGGTCAACAGTTAACTTTGGTCAAAGTCAACGAGTCGGGTCAGATTGATTATGTCCGAGTTGACTCAACGGGTTGACTCACAAGTTGACTCGGCTGACCCGATCAACTCGACCGAGTTAACTCAGTTTTCTAGAAGTCTCGGCTGGGAAGGAAGCCCCACGCGCACTTCTAGCACGTGGTGGTGCATGCGGCGGCGATGGAGGTCGGAGTGATCGACCGATTCTTTTGGGAGAATCAACACTCCAATCACAACTCAAACAACCTATTTGCAAGCCAAAACAATGGGAAAAATAACCGAATCGAACGATCAAAATCTTACCCATGGCGGATGGCGTGAACGACGACGGTGGAGGAAGAACCCAATCGGGTTTTGATCGGAACTGGCCGAGAAAAACAATACTGGGGGCGGTGAGACACGACGGTCGATGTTTTGGCCGGAATCTACATAAAATCGAGGCGATCGGGGGTGAAGACGACGAAGCTTTACGATGGGGTTTTACTGCGAACAACATCGTCCCACGGCAAAATAGTAATAAGGCTTTGGTCGTCGGTCGACGACAAGCACGATGATAATGACGACAGGTTGAACGGTGGCCGAACGACAACGAATTTGTGGTTAAAAGGTGGAGGGGCGCGACCAGACTAGGGATTTAGGGGGAAATTTGGGGGTTTTCGGTTCTTCGAAACCGGGTTTATTTTTCACTGCCAACAGAAAATGGACAAATTCAGAGTTGGGTCCCAAATTTCCTGCAACTTTCTAAAACTGAGTATAAGTTTTAAAAAGTTATAATTTGACCCCTAAATTGGGTTGTGACAAGGACAATCGCTGCTCACATGAATGTTGTCTTCATTTGCCAAATTACATCTAGGGCAGATATTGCTGGTACTAACTCGCTTAATAAAAAGGTTTTGCATTGTAGGGATATAGTCCTTGTAAATTTCCACAACAAAATCTTACTTGTAAATTTCCACAACAAAATCTTTGTCTTGTTATGACACGGTAATTTCCAAATGGAATTAAAAACATTATCAGTATCATCATAATCACTATTGCAACTGATTAATAGTTTATAACCGCTTCGAACAGTGTAATTCCCAGACCCTTCACCCTTCCAACAGAGAATATCTGCTTGGTTGAAACCAATTTATTAATTAAATTATAATCAATGGCCACGTTTATATATATATATATATATATATATCATTTCCCCCCTTCTCTTATTTTTAAAAAAAAAAAACTAATATCATCTCTATGTATATGTGATTTTTTAATATTAGCTTATTAAATTTAGCTGATTTTTTAATATTAGCAGATTAAGTTTAGTTGATTAAAAAAATTATTTTATCAAACATATTAAAAAATATTTTCTTTTCACTTTTTCACTATCATATTTTATCACATTCTAAATATCAATAAATTATCTTATTTCTACTTTGTTGGATAGGAAGAGTTGTCTTATGCCTTAGAAATAGGTCTATTCTTTTAGGAATTGGAACAAAGTAGTGAACTTTATTATAAGCAGAAAATGATACAATAAAACATATCACAACACATTTTTAAAAAAAAGTTGAATCTTTATTACAACTTATATAACTTATACAAATTATATAAAAATTGAATCTTTATTATACCATTCTATATTTTGTTATCTGATGTTGGTTAGGTGACAATTAGATATTTGTTTTTTCTCTTAATTTTTTTTATTGATTTCTTCCTTGCTATATATATGGTGAGCAACTGATGTTGCAGCCAAGCTATCCTTGAAAAGTTTTACCATCACTTGCAGACAGTGAAGCCTATTGGCGTTCTTTGTAGTCATGAAATCTTCCCTTGCATTCTTCGCTTTACTTTGCATTCTTATGGTAAATTTTATTCGCATTATTATCTTTTTCATTTCTTTAGCATTTTATTGGAGAAACTGTTCTGTCGTTCCTATAATTATTTGCTGACAAAAAGATGGACAGAGCTCATGATTAAGTATCTCCTGTTGTTTTTTATGTTTTTCTCTTGGTCTCATCTCGGTGTTTGGACGTTATGCAAGTTTACAGAAACTATTGATGCAAGAAAAGCGCCAGAAGAAGGTAGCAATGACGAAAGGGAGATGACTATGCCCAAAGCCGATAAATCTTTTCTCAAGGATTTTGACCCGAATAGTCTCTAGTACCATTATCTATCTCAGGAGGCAATGAAGAATGCTTTTCTCAAGGACTTTGACCCCAAACGTCCCCAGTATCATTATCTATCTCAGGAGGCCACGAAGAACGCTTTTCTCAAGGATTTTAACCCCAACCGTCCCCAGTACCATTATCTATCTAAGGAGGCCACGAAGAACGCTTTTCTCAAGGATTTTGACCCCAATCGTGCCCAGTACCATTATCTATCTAAGGAGACCATGAAGAACGCTTTTCTCAAGGATTTTGACCAATGATTTTGATCTCAACCGTCCCCAGTACCATTATCTAATGAGACCATGAATAACTCTTTTCTCTGGGATTTTGACCCCAATCGTGCCCAATACCATTATCCATCTCAGGAGGCCATGAAAAACACTTTTCTCAAGGATTTTGACCCCAACCATCCCCAGTAGCATTATCTATCTCAAGAGGCAATGAAGAATGCTTTTCTCAACGATTTTGATATCAACTGTCCCCAGTACCATTATCTATCTCAGGAGGCTATGAAGAACGCTTTTCTCAAAGATTTTGACCCCAACCGTCCCCAGTACCATTATCTATCTCAAGAGGCCATGAAGAATGTTTTTCTCAAAGATTTCGACCCGAACCGTCCTCAATACCACTACCTATCTCAAAAGGCCATGAACTCTTTGAAGAAAGATGATGTGTCTCATGATGCCAAAAATAAAGATGATTAGCCTCAAGAAACTAAAACCTCCTTTGTCATGGATTTGGCCAAAACTCTCATCTAAAAGGAGATGCTCATGTGGATTCAGCTTGAAGAAGCTTTCAGTTAGAATAAAAGCCATTTATTCGAATAATTGTTAATAATTATTAAAAAATATAATGATTTGTGAATATTTGAAAATATAACTATTTGTGATCGTGGTTATTGTTGAGAAAACCATTACCATTCTTTTTACATTTTTATCATGTATTTTACCTACAGATAGTGGTTGGTTGTCCCTTGTTCCCATATGTAATGGGGTAAGGGGGAGGTAAGATAGTAGGCTGCCCCCAACACTAGGTTGAGAGTAGCTTCCGTAGAAAACCTCCAAATTATGAAATGCCTTCCATGGTAAATACATTCTTTTTTTTTTATCTCCGCTCATAATTTGTAAGTTGTCTTTCTCTTAAAAGAGTAATATTATTCTATATTCATATTCACACCATAATAAATTTTGAGTGAATTAATTGAAAAATTAGTGTTCAAATTATATTTCTTGTTTGTTTTAGGTATTTTTTGTGTCAAAGTAGATATCTATTATTTTATTTCATTACTATTTACGGTGTTTGGCCGCCAAAAAAATTTGTTATCCAATCAATGCTTGACATGTAGCATGTTTTTCAATTTCATTTTAAATAATAATATTTTTAAATACCTAAAATCTCTGAATTACTCAAAAATCTTAAATTCCTTAAATCCCAAAACCTCAAATCTCTAAATCGCATATGCCACTACTAAATCAACCACCATCAATTATTCCTTTTGTTGTCGGTCTCCTATTGGTTGTGTAGACACCATATTTTGTCCAATTAATATTACCATAGTCTTTAATTATTAATATTAATTATTGGTAATGTCGACACCCGTTTTCGCTCGAATATTTCGTTATTATTATTATTATTATTTAATTTTTAATTTTTATATATTTATTTTATATTTATACTTATATTTATACTTCTTTCTTTCTTTTTGCATGTCAAAATTACAACAAGCCCAACAACAATTTGAGCCCAGATATAAGGGGCCCGATCGGCCTAAACCCTAACCCAATTAGGGTTTGTTGAAACCTTAACTTTCCAGAAAGCATTTCAACTGCCACCGCTACCAGATTTGGCTCTCCAGCCGCCGACCAAAGCTAATCCCACCATCACAGTCGTTCAATCGCCGTCAAGCCTAGCCAAAAAAAAATATGTCAGAGATCTCAATCAAACCCCAAAAACTCTAGAGCATTAAATGGCTCAAAATCATGCACAATAATGGCAGTAGATTAGGTGATTTTGTAATATTTTTTATCTATGTAATCCGTGTATATAAACCCGAAACTATGATGTAAAAAGGAGCACCTTTTCCCACTGATTTAAGAGGAATATAAAAAAAGGAGAAAAGATTTTGAAGGTAATTTTTTTTAGTTTCAAATACAAAAATATATATAATATATTTATTTATGAAAAAAACAAAAGAGGAGAAGAATGGAGAGGTACTTGAGAGAGGGGGGATGAACCGATTCATTTTCGCGGTGGCCATATGTAGGGAAGACTAAACGTCGGGCCTTTTTGTTGGCGTTTAGGAGTAATATTTGGTAGTTTTAACCCCAAATAGGGGTCTAGGGTAGTAGATCGGGACGTTTGGGTTATTTTGAGCTAGGTATAGGAGTTTCGACCACCATGTGTGGTGGCCGGAGTGACGGTTGAGGCAGTGGCGTAGAAGGTCGGAGGGTGGCCGACCGAGAGGAAAAGAGAGAGTTTGAATCTTTTTTTTTCTCTCAAATGGGTTTGAATTGAAAAGAAGGAGAAATGTATTTTCTAGGGAAAGTTGGGGTGATAAAGTTTAAGTCCCCTAGGTTTAGCTCGTTTTTGTATTTTGGTTACCTGCAAGGACCAAAATTGGTATTTACCTTTTTTCATACGTGTTATATATTGATTGGATTAATTTATGTTTAGTCCCCTAGGTTTAGCGTATTTTTGCATTTTGGTCACCTACGAGGACCAAAATTGTTATTTACCCCTTTTCTTGTATGTTATATATTTATTGGAATATTCTCTGTTTAATCCCTCTTATTTAAGCGTGTTTTTGCATTTTGATCATATGTAGTGATTATTTAATTTAATTTTAATTTTGTTGGATTGATTTAGTAATTTACGCATTTTTTACTTAATAGTGTATTTTAGGCTCAAAATGAATAATTATCAACTAGTCCCTACATTTTAAGAATATTTTAGAGTTTGGTCACTAATCTTCTTTTTCGATTTGATTTAATTTAATCATGTAATTATTTTTTATTTTAATTTGGTCCCCATATCTTATTTATTTTTGTTTATTATAATCTTTGCATGTGATGTTAAATATGTTCATTTTGGTCCTAAATATATGGGTTTATTACACTTTTTGTGCTTGTAAAGTATGATTTTTTGTATTATATGTTATGTTATTTATTTAATTTGTTGTTGTGACACTAAAGTCCCCAATTTTATTATTTAGTCCTATATTTGTAATATGTGTTTTGAATGTTGTCCATGTATAAAAATATATATCGATATCATGAAATAAATATTTGTATAATTTGTTGTATATAGATTTAGAATTCAATTTAAATTAAATTGTATGAAAATATATAAAACCTCATGAGCATTACTTGACTCGAATCAAAATAATTTGACTAAGGGAATATCCGTTTATTTTGAGATTAGAGGAAGTGATTGTCTTAAAGAATAAGAGGTCGCTTTCAATAATTTTAAAATAAAAGGGTATCCTATCAAGAGAAACGAATAAAATTGATTTTTATTAAAATTTGGGAACTGCGAAAAAGATCATGTTCTTTTAATTAAATTCACTGAAAAAGACTGTTAGATCGAATCCAAGGTCTCGTTTTGATGTATTTAAATAATTGAACATCCTTATTCACATTAATGGTTGGTAAAATAATTAATTAATCATATTTGCTTGATATATGTTTTTAACTTTTGTTTTATTTTTGCATGTATTTTCAATGGGATTTCAAAATAAATAGCACTCGAATTAATAATGAATTTTAGAACAAAATAATAATATTTCTTTATTTTGATTAGAGTAAGAAATGATTGTTTTAAGGCATAAGAGGTTATTTCTTCTCGATAGAAAATAATTAAATATTTCTTTTTTCCTCCTAAAATTCCAAGAATGTTTTTTATTGTTATTTTATTTTATAGTTATTTATGCATTTAAATTTGGAATTAATAATGAACTCTAGGATGGAATTGTAATATTTCTTTATTTCGATTAGAGTAAGAATAAACTGCTTTAAGGTACTAGATGTCAATTCTTCTCGATATAAAATAATTAAATATTATTTTGTTTCATCCTAAAATTAAAAGAATATTATTTAATGGGATCTAAAATCTAAATTAAATTCGAATTTGTGAATTTCATTGTAAATATAACTAATTAATTGACTAGGTACCGATTTAGGGTGCTGTGGGGGTGCTAATCCTTACCCACGCGTAATCGACTCTCGGACTCAATTTTTTGGTACGCATATCATAAATTTATTATTTTAATTAAAATTAATATTTTTATTAAAATGAAAAATACATTTTTGGGTGTCCAATCACACCCTAATCAAATATTAGTGGCGACTCGTTGAATCACGTTTTATTATTAAAAGATCACCAAATTATTCGAGATGAGATTCATTTAAAAATCATATTTTAAAAAATTAAATTTGTTTTTTAAGAAAAAATCCTTTTGACAGGTAATAATTTTATATCGTAGGTCTGTTAATTATTGTTGGACAGATGGTTTATTTAAATATACATATGTTTTTCGAATACTTAGAATTGTAGTGGTCAAATTTAATTAGTTATAGTCATGTGACTAATATAGTTATATAATTAATAAATATCATATATATATAATTAAATAACACTAGTTTTATTTTTTATAGGACTAATACAAAATCGACCCAAATTCCATTAATTACAAAAGATCCAAGCCTGCTGCTATTGTTCATTTGGTTTAGGCCTAACAAGGAGTCCACACACATGACCCAAACCCGACTAGGGTTTCATCTCAAGTCTAGCCGCATGTAACACCCTCAGACCGATGCGGGTGACTCTATCCGATTCGAGATGTCACATTCTGGCCACCAGAGCGACCCACAGTAAAAATCCCAGAAAAATTAAAATTTCTGTTAAAACACATAAAACATAAAACAATTTATAATTAAAACACATAAAATCATAAAATAATTTATAAGTAAAACACAAGTTCATAAAACCATTCATGTATTAAAAACAAAATTAAAATCATACAAGTTTCATACTTAGTATAAAAATCAAATGTAACCTACATGCACCCTAATTACACTTGTACCATACTCTTCAGCCTAAGCCAATGAAACTCCCATTATATATTACGATAGCTGAACTGGATCAATTCTTTTAACATGAAATAGAGTGTAAAAGAGTGAGCTCTGGGAAGCTCAGTAATAC